AGCATATATAATCGAATTTCAACTAATTATGAAAATCAGTAGTTTACACCATCGTCGCATTATTTCCAGTTTTACTGATTATCATTTATGCGACCAATCAGATGAGATCGTAATATTTCTGCTTTACTAGGAAAATTGTGCGAAATTTTCGCCGTGAACAGTGGAATTTTTTAAGTGATGACTTTGTCTTGATAGCTAGTGATATTTAATCGATTAAGTGACTACATTTCAGCTTACTCGAACTGAAATTGAAGCGTTACATGAATGCCCACATTTTAAATCATAATACATCAACAAAGACTTATTATTCCGGGACTAAATTCCTTTACATAGAATATAGACTTTTTAATTTCTCTTGATATGGTCATACTCAAACCACAACAGGATTTATTTAATCCAATTTTTCAGCATTGTTAGAGGAATCAAGATTGTCATGTATGGAAAACATTGAAAGTCCAAAACAGGGGACAGCTAAACTATCCATAGATTAAAAAACACTGAATAGGCCAAGATGGACATCTTATTCATCTTCGCATACAACAATAGATAGAAAGCATTATTCATCATAGAGATATGGCAAAACAACAACAAATATCGAGGAATAGTATAAATCTTCGAAACAGAAAGTTAGAAGTACACTAATAAGTTTATAGGAACCTAGTTATGCTTAGACTGATCAGCAATCAATAGACAAGCAAACATAGGTCAGATTTACAGGTCATTAAATAAGAAATAAAAATGATAATATTTTAAGTCGAAAAAATAAGTGAATACGAATACAACTGAATATAAAGACTACAAAATCCCCCAAGAATGCCCATCGTAGTTAAGGCCATTAAAATTTATTACACTTGTGAAGGGTTGTAAAACCTCATTTATTTTTATGAGCCACTACTGGTTTTCACACATAGAATGATGACGAAAGTCTGTAGATGAAACCACTCAGTACGAAAGAAATGTAGTAACACTGAAAGAACAGGTTGAACAACACATATAAGACTATGGGTTTGGCAGAACAGTGTTGTCATCACAGCGTGATTCAACCTGAAATTTCATTTCAAGATAAAATGGAATCCGGCATGAACTATTATAATTACTATTATTCCCTTGGGTTAAAAGTGAAACGTACAGCTTCAACTGCAAATCTTCACTTTGTCCTCTCCAACTGGTCGTTTCCCATTCAGGTCCTACTGCAAGTCCTGGAGTATGATATCGCCCAAAGGTTTCCACAGAGTAAGTTCGGACTATCTCCATCTTCTTCAATATATCCGTTGGGCAATGGGTTCTTGGCAGCTGTCTTGTTGGTGATCCTTTCTGGTTACCTGATTTTCAGTAAGGAGCGAATGCAGCTGTCGATAAAAGTCAGAAGCCTATTGAAAATGCTTTCCATGATGCACACTACGAGTATCTGAATTTTATAGAAATACTGACTGCTTTGACATCAGTGCTGAAGATCCAAATGAAGGTCTGACTTGCTTTGCCGATCCTAATTTTCACATTACAAGCCGCGCTGCCAGTAGTTGAAATAATGCTGTTCAGTAAGGTAAGTAAAAGAGTTGACCTCCTTCAAATTTCTCTCGTTGATGGTGATTGATGCTTGTTATTGTTATTGTTGTCGTTCAGGTATCTTTCTCACCTCTGTTTTTTTTTTTGCTCACTTGGAGTCCTATCTTTGCTGCTTTCCCTGCCGACCTGTTTGTTTTTTGTCTCTGGAGCTTTGTGTTATTCTAACATTTGACATAAATCATCCGTGAAGCTCAGGCATTCTAATATTTTCTCGTCAGTCCGATGTTTACCCATCTCCTTGCTCCCTAGGCTATATTACATGATCTAATCGACCGAAATCAGGAATATCACCGGTAACTGTAAGCGGCCTGGTCTCAGTCATGTTTTCACTTCAAAAACATAATCGAGCTTTCCTTTCTGAACTCTTCGCGGAATCAATTACTAGTCTTAAAATTCTCAGTGTTATGTCTGAACTCTTTAGAATGAATTTTCAAATCTTTGCTTCTATTTAATCCATCACATTTCTACTTATTTTTTATCTATGGCCGTAACCAAGAGATTTTTAAGAAAACTTTACTTCTCTACTTTCCCATAAAACCAATTCTCTATGTAAACAATGAAATCAAAAATGATCTTTCAAGCTACCGTATGTACATAACTTCAATATGATCAATCAACTTAGTACATAAGGTCAGTTACTAGAAGAGAAGTGATTGGTTCAATTTATCATCGTATTCTCAAAACCTGTTGGAATATTGAATAATTTATCTCAATGAAACGAATTATGTACTGTGATGATAAGAAATTTAACCTTTTAGGTAATAAAATAAAGCTGGAATTAAACATGAAGTTTTCACATAACAAAGAGCTGCCATCAGTGAGAGTATTAACATGAATTCCTCTTTTATACAATGCTCACAACAGATATCCATATCATGATGAAGAAAACCAATAATAATAATCTGAATTAATGTTTAGACATTATTTGAAAGGCAAGTCTTTTAAAGAATACTGTGCTTCTTTTTTCTCTTAAAAATTCACTGTCTCTCTATCTATCTATTTCTCTCCCTTGTATAAATACTTTCATTTTCTGATATTCAGAGCATAGTAATGAACAGGAATGACATGTGAATAATTAGCTAGTTAAAATATATGCTTAATAATAAAACACTATTAAAAAGCTGATAATATCCAGCTTGTATCTTGGTTATAAAAGTATATTACTATGATTGCATTGTAATTCTACTTTAAGTATAATGTGATGAGTTTGTAAATGAATTAGGTAAAACACCGGATTCTTTTCACCCTATCCAAGTACACTCAGCAAGAAATAAAACGATACCAAAGTCAAACAAATAAAGCAGATCGTGAGGAGGAAAAGTGAAGTCATTTGGGGCTTCGGAGCAAATCATAAGTAAATTAATCTTGCACATCCATCTATACTACTGACTGATTGAGATGAGTAGTTGTATACCACTCACATCACAACTAGTAGTTCTTGCCGGCCGGATCGAAGTGTGATCTAAAAATCAGACGGCCGTTTCACTCGATCACATATTGTAATCTGAATAATCTCGGTTTTCAAAGGAAACTGGTGAAATAATCACCTCCAACTATGTAAATTGCGAATTAATTTGTAAAATTGTGAACTAATTTGCAAACTGAGAATTCGATTATTAATTAATTAATTAAGCTTGATCATTTTGGTTGGTTATGGCTCATAGCATTTTGAATCAGTAACTAACAATAATTCTTAACTTTCAGATAAGTTTACTTTTCTGCACATTTCGAAATAATTAGTCATTGACTTCGCGTCTACATTCAACTGCTTTCTGCTTCAATAGTTCGCGTATTTTTTTCAGTGTCTTTATTCAAGACAACTAGGTCGCTATTGTACTCAAAATCCCGATAGAGAGCCCTTCTCATATAAAATCAAATGTAGACAAAGTCATTTTCTTAAGTGTATGATAATTTTACAGTTAGCAATTATATTAACCGACACGCACGACAGAAAGAATAAATTGATACTGTTCACAAAATTCCATGACTTCGATTAGTTAACATATACTATGCTTCTACTTTCATTGTCTGACAGCACAACTAGACTGTCAGTAAAATTTTATCTCATTATATAACTGTCTAACGGTCTATCTCACCTGAAAACAGTTAGGTTTAAGTCAGACTAATGTGTTGTGGTTCACTCGACAGTTTTATCCAGTAAAAAGACAGGTTTATTATTATTTTTATTTACATTGTAAAGTATAGAACTTTCTGAAGTAATTTTATGAATAAAAGTAAGGTAAATTTCTTTTTTATATGAATGGTTATCCTTTTTTTCAACAACTTTAAGCTCTTTTGAATGGGACAGGATAAGATTAGAGATAGTAAGTGAAGTGGTCAAATAATATGACTGCTTCAGATGTTTGGTAGGCTATATCAACCCCCAAAGCACTAGTTGGTAACAAAGTCACGACAAAAATGAAATTGCCCTGTAGATATTTGTCAGGTCACATAACCTCTGTCATAGAAGAGATGCTTAGTCACTACTTAGCCTAATGACAGCTGCCAACTTTACTACATCACAGATTGTGAAGAGAAGAAGATATGAGATGATTACAAGTTTCAAACAAAATTTCCCACATTTGATTAAATCCCAGATTGAATGCTATTGATATTACAAGTAGGGTGTTAGGCAGAGAGAAGTCAGTCAATTAGGTTGAAAATTCTATTTGACATGTTGTTTTAAAGTGTACCAACTAGAATATGACGAACTTTTGTGCAAGGTTCTACAGTGATCTGTTATTTATCGTACTCCCTTAAAGCTTAGTGTTTTTAAATCTAAAACAAAGGAAAATATTACCATTTTCCGATTTAACAAAGACTTAGGTGAAGACAAAGTTTTTATACATTCAGTTTAGATGAAACACTCTAAACTGCTATCAACTATTGATCTTTCGTATTCAAACTAACTGAAAATAAGCATAATATGCCTAACAGATTGTAAGCGTTACAGGATAACTTCCAGTTGCAGAGGAAATATAGCTCTTAAAATGTTGTGAGTAGTTAATCGGTAGATGGTATAACCTCACTGAGATTTCGTGCGTGCTCATACTGCTCAGCACAGTATACTTTCAGCACCAAAGAAATGGTTGCTTCCATATCGATTTGAACTTGAAATCAGAGAATATACTATTAGCATAGCGATAGAAGATAAGCTTATCGACGGATGACAACAGAATCAACTCCTAGATTAACCTTTGGTTTCTGCAGATTAACACCTTACATGCAAGAGTGAATAAAACATATCTTAGTGGAGAGAAGAATGCTACCACTTTGTATATTTGACTGATAGGAATTGCTCGGTACTTTGGATTACAAAAATATGTGGGTTATCACATCCTTCAACTGGTTAGCATGTCGTCATTACATTACAAATCATTTCGCTCGTGTTAGCATGATCTGTGAACGAATTATATATACATAATGTCGCATACCTTTACATCTCCACCGGCGGGATTGTACTTGACATTTGCAAATGAACCAATTTTAGGAGTCACCTTTTGAATGAAATCCAATTTTTCTGTAGATATCTAATTAAGGTATAAAGCATATTAGAGAAACTCATCAACCGAATCGTGTCATGCTTTAGTGCACTCTGAATATAGACAGACAGATAAAGGTAGATGTCTCCACTCCACCACAGGAACGCATCAGTTCAAGTTACCATGCTTCACCCCAATAGTGCATACGGATAAAGTGGAAAGCGATGTTGTAGAGCAGTGGTAAAACATGGATGTAAGAGAAGACAGACTAACGAATAAACGATAGTAAATCGTACAAAACCTTGAAGGTGTAAGAAAGAGCAAAGAAAATTACTCTACTGTCTAATATTTCGAGCAACTATTTATTTCTAACATGTCGAGGACTAATTCTACATTTTTCTACCTAGCCAAGACCAGCATTTGGAGGCTTCATAAATCGGCTTGATTCTCTTCGTGTGAGGTCGATTGACGAGAGAGATAGATATTATATGCAGATATAGGAGTAAATCAACCTAGAGTTCAATTCAACTGCACCTTCCTGCTTTCTATTACTACTAATCAAGGTACTTACACTTACGCATCTCGTTTTACTCTGTTAACATTACGATAAGATGAATAGAATAAGTTGTCAACAAGAAGTGACAATAAAGCAGTGAACTGATAAATGTTCTCAGTCTTGTAATGAAATGCAGATTATACGGGTTAGTGCATTCGTATGACTATCAAACATGGTTAAAAATTGTAAGTGAAATGTTTCAGAATTAATAACAAATGAGCCTGTACCTTATTAACACCTTGACTTTCGGTCAGATTGTCTTTTTCCAAGTTTGATCCCAAAAAGCTGAGCAGCTGTTCCTTCCTAGCGGGGAATTGTTCAGCACTCACGACTCCACCGAGGATTGGACCCAGAAACCTCAGTTTGAGAGATCAAGCTCTTTGACCATTTATCCGATTGAATCAAAGCTGAATGGTGCATGAATTCTGACTTCTGTCAACTTTCCATTTTAGCGCGACTGTCAGCCAATGTTATTAGTGGGTATTTGTTTTCACACCCTACCTGGTGGGCCCCACTAGTCACGTCTTCCCCCTAAAAACTTCAGGCGACTTATTCATGTAGCCAATCACTATTGAGCGTCAGATTCATTTTCAAGAGTCAGTTTATAGAGATTTCATTAGTTCCAAGTTGGATAACGGATTGATGTCACTTAGTTTCGTTTCATTGCTGTCTACTTCATTTGAGTGAAAGGTGGAAACATACTCATACTAGGATATAAAATCATAGGTGTGACGTACTAATAATAACTAAATGGGCACCGGTAACAATTCTCCAAATCTAGTAGATGTTGAGGAGCCTATTAAGGAAGGTGTTGGCTTAGCATGAGTAACAGTCAGTCGACACAGACGTACGACTTCAACAACTGATAACCTATCCTCACCTCACACTGAACGTCTAGTCGTGTTATTACCTACCATACTGTTTAGCTAATGAAATCCCTGACAGTCTTATTATCTTCTGCTTGATAGAGATATATGATACGTAGCAGCTTAGATCATAATGTAATCATTTTAAGTCAAATATCAATAATGACTGATTAGCTGATTATTCTGTAAAATGATGGTATTCATATAACATCAATAAAATTGAAATGTCATATTAATAATAAATGGATTACACCAATAAATACTTTTAAATGATGATGTCTATCTGAAAACCTTTAGTGAATAGCTCACCTTTTTATCTCCACCTCCAGGAACGTGTTTGACATTTTTAAAAGACTGAACTTTTGATTGTGTATTAGAAGAGAAATCAAGTTTTTGATCTACAATTTGTACATTCCCACCACCTTGTAAAAAGGAAAAGAAATATTTTTCGAAGTTCATTTTAATGGTTCCATGAAAAAAGTACCTTATGCTATGCATTAACCCAATTTTTTAAGAGTTATCTATTATTATCTTTGAATGCCATAGCTGAAATAATCTAAAGAAAAGCAAATTAAAAAGTTAGGTAGTTGTGCGAGTGGATTATTCTATATTTATTTTAAAAGATTTTGGTATTAGGGGATTGTTTTATGGTTTCCCTACAGAGACAGCTCTTCCTCTTCAAATTATGCCTCCATTCTTTACAAAGTATCATCACATAGCTCATTATAGGATTAACTATTCGTCAAACTATGATTATTAGTCCTCAGAGTTCCAAGTGGAACAAAGGATCTTTGTGATACATCTCTATTTTCCATTATGGGTAAATTTTGTTTTGATAAAGTCTCATAGTGTTATACAGTAATGTTTACTGATGACGTTTCGAGCACAATTTACTGCTCATAATCATATCATGTGATATGACCTTGATATGATTATGAGCAGTAAATTGTGCTCGAAACGTCATCAGTAAACATTACTGTATAACACTGTGAGGCTTTATCAAAACAAAATTTACCCATAATGGAATTACACTCTACCACAGTGCACAAGTTTTATTCTTATATCAACATTTCTATTTTGCCTGATTCTCTGCTACTGCTTTTAGCCGCTGTAATACTACCCTCAAGCTTTTAATTTCTTTTCATATGTTCTTCTTTATATCCCCACTGGACATACAACTGGTCGCTTCCCATCCGGATTTCACTCAAGGACGTCTCTTGTAATGATATCATTTGAAGATCTACTCAGAGTATGTTTAATCCATCTTCATCTCTTTCTGCATTTTTCCTTTGGTCAGTAAGTTCGCTTTCAAAGTTTCTTGTTGTTTATCTCTCCGTTTTGTACAATAAAGCATATTAACAGGAGTTTGAAATTAAAAGCACTTATGCCATTTATGTGCGTCTGTGGCACAAAGGAAGAATGCACGCCAACCATGCATGTGGTCCGGGGTTCGATCTCCGATCATCGCAACCCATTACCTTGCTAAGCCAGTAATAAGACTTGCAAAGGGGGAAGGTTGGGCATGAGGCTACCAATCCCATCCATCTAATAAAAATAAACACCACTGCTACCGAAACTTCACGCCTCTAGCGTGAAGCCCTATGTTCCACTGGGAACGTACAGGAGTAAAAAAATATGCCATTTTTATCAATTGTGGAGGCAGTATGAGCTAGTAATTGAAATTATTTAAACAACTGAATTATTTCACTAATATAAGGAAAAGTGTAAATGAGTACTGTCCTTGACTTAAAAGTCCAGCGAAAAGTAATAAGTTGAGTTGAAGTAAATTTACTAGTGAGATTAGTGACACGTCTACGGATCACTATATAATAAGCAACAGAAAGATGGGATCAATAACTGTTTGGCTGAGACTAGAGGAACAGTATTTGTAGTTAAATGAAAGTAAATGATAAAGTCATTCTTGTGGTTATATTTTTTGACTTCACCAACATATCAGAATTCAGTTGTCTTTGAAATTTATTTAAAATTGTAACGAAAAGTTCCACCAACTAGATATGATATTGGCAAACTTTATGCATGATAGCTCCATTCACCAGAAAAAAACTTTAACAATGTCTTTCAACCACATTGATAATGAAATAATTTAACCTTGTGAAGTCATTCACCCGTGATAAAGTCTATTCAGGCAGATCCGATATGTTATTTGACAAGATCCTGACTTTATAATTGTCGATTGATTTATCGCTTCATAGAAAAAAACCCACTGTTGCTCATGATAAAAATAAAAGTTTCATGGTGGTGAAAACCATAAAACAAAGAAACATAAGCGGGAGAATAAGTGTAGAATTATACCTGGTTTATGTTTCACATTGGCCAGTGAATTACATTTCCCTGTGACAGTATTAATGACTACTTTTTCATTGAAAATTTGTACCTACAAAGAGGAGTGAAGAGAGAATTTGTCAGCTTTTCAGCATATCACGAATTGTGAAGTTATTATACTAATTAATAAGGTAATTCAATGATAAAAAAAATTTAAAAAGTAATATCAGTCAGATTTGAATAGACACACAACAATAAAATAGTGTATGTAAATGTCATAACCTAGGCTCTTGATGGTATGGACAAAAACTGACTTCATTGAAAAGCAGGCATTTATAACTTATTTTCAAGCGTTAGTCTGCAGTGATTTGATGGGTTTCAAGTTTGATTATACATTGATATCAGTTAAGGAACCACCATAAAACCACAGAGTACTTGACAGCTGTTTCATCCTTGTTTGGGACTCCTCAGAAATACTCACCCATGAACCCACGGGTTATTGAATCGAGGACTTTCAGCTGACCAGGCGAGGTCATTGACCAATGAGCCATTGGGATGGATTCTGAGAGCCTATGAATTCTACCTCCTATAACTTATCTTCAACCTAATGATAATATTGGATCTTTATATTTACTAGGCCGCCTTTATTATTGTTCTACCACATTCAAAATGGATGATTATATGATTTATATTTCACTTTGCTTATCCGGTTTTTCTTATCTTTTCACGTAGGTGTGAGATGAGCTGAACTAGGACGTGCTACAGTGGTGTTATATTGCTATTTTCATAGTTTCGTTGTTTTTTATAGAATTTCTCATATAACTGTACACCAGTTCACTGGATGCTTTTCATAACAATAAGTACAAAAATAAGTCATATAAGTCAGTTGCACAGAAAACGAAATTTATTTGATTTAAAAATTTCTAAGGAATTGATTTATTTCAATACAGATTCCACTGAAAATCAATGCAAATTAGAATAACACTGAGAATAAAAAGGCATTCGACAGTTGTCTTGTTATAGTTATAAGCTTTTCAGTAGTGAACCCGTACGACACTATGCAGGATGAATTTCACAAACATCCTGTTTTATGCGGAGCATATTATCATTCAGTCATAGTAGTCAATCAAAATATGGTAGTGGTCTACTTATTTCACTTTGTGCTAGTGTATTTGCAATCCAAAGTTGTGAGTGTGAAGTTATGCGCAAGTCATTGATTTCGAAAATCCACCTTGAATCCAGTCACCAGTGAATACTCAATTGTTATTCAGCTTAAGGGTTTTGAAGAAACCTAATCAGTTACGGCATATATTGTAAGTTGTGAAATACGCTCAAACTGATTTACCTCAGTGATCACAACTTCTAAATTAGAACGTAAATTGTTCCACTTCAAAGTTTATCACTAACGTTTGGTGGATTAACATCTAGAAATTGATTTTGTGAAGAAATCCAGCTTGAAGTCAATTCAGTCCTCACAGATCCCCAAATAATAAATACTTTTACTGTTATCGATTAGTTAGAAACATTAATGTAATTAGACATTAATGTTTCCTATTTTCATCCTGATTACCGTCCAATTGTCTTTCACTTGATCTGTTCATATCCGCTTTTTATGGAGACAAAATAGTAAATTGTACTCATTTCCTAGTTGTGATAGTGTCAGAGATTTTACCTATCACCTTTCATTAATTTGTAGTACCACATAATATTTGAAGATTTTTAACTTTGGGAAACTTTGCTTACTGTTACTTTCATTATCGTTATTCTCACAATTTATATCAGGCTTGTAGTGTCTTTTTTTAGCAACAACTGCATTGATAAAATTTTCACTTTTTTTCAACAGATGACGAAATGAATTCACTTGAAATTATGGTGGATGTTGTGCTGTAGAGTAATGTACCTAAATCAGCCAGGCAACCGTTAAAAACTAAAAGAACAACTGCACAGGTATTTGATCGTTGCATGCAAAATTGTGTGAGATTATACTGTCATGACTCAATTAGAGTTCAATATCAAGATCATTAAGCTGGAATACCCAGCCGGTGTTTTGATATACAATTATTCGAGTCTTCTTGACTCCTTGAGATTTAACACAATCGACATTCTATTTCGGTGCTGCTTAGTTCTCAATTAGTGATGGTTGTAAATAAAGAGGGAGAACTACTTCCAATCACTTGATTCCACGCAATCTCTCACATTCATTAATGATATCCGTTCTTTAAAAAGCGGACAGATTAATTTTAAGTAGTAGCTAAATCATACTTAGCTGTGCGTACAGAATCATTCAGAGATTAGCGGTGCTTCACAACTATTAATAATTAAATAAATAATCGATAAACATTTAATCATTGCTTCATGAGATTAGAGATTACTTGAGTTTAAGCAGCTATATGGTGAAATTAACTTTCCAGAAAAATTAATGGATCTCATAGATGAATACATAAACTTTTTAAGTTGACACTAAGTAATTAAGCCAATCATTCTTATCATTAATAACAAAATTTTTATAGTAGTAATGCTGGAAAGCACACACCACTGTGTTAATATATTATGAGCTCTACTCAGTATTCACACGTTACTAAAGCCACAGGTGGCACACGTTAGCATAAGTAAAGAGTCATTTTTTGTATGAAACATTATTATGAGAAGAATATCACACAGTAAGACTGCCACAACGTTATACTATCAGCTTTCATACCAAGTTCACTTTTAACTAACAAAGATTTCAGATGACAGTAAACGTTATTAAACGAATAATAACACTTAATCAAAAGTTCCAATCACTTCTAATGCAGCCATCACTTGAGACACATTTATTATTTCTACACACCAATTTATAAATAACTTTTGGTTTAGCACACAAAGTATATGGCACTTAAAGTTACATTTGCGTATATATATACACCTTTAACTGGGTCATTAAATTAAAATTTGTGGAAGTTTAAAAGTTTCTGATTACTGTCAGTACATGGTAAATTAAATAATGAATGCATTTCCGTTAAATTTCTGTGCACAAACACTTCAAAATATCTTCATTTAAATTAAAATATCTCCACTTACATTGCCTCCGCCTGGTTTGTGTTTTGCATTTTGCAATGATCCTACTTTCGAAGATATTGGCCTTGGAGGACCTAATAAAGATTTCCAAAAAAGTGAAATTAGTTAAAAACAGTTACAAGTTGAGACTGGAAATATTAGTAGCGTTACTTACTACAACTTGAGTCAATAAATTAGTCGCTTTGATAATAATAACAGCAGCAATAATAATAATAATTAGTGAAATAGCCTCAAATTGATAGAGGTAGTTGAACTAAAGTCAGAGTTAAGTTAGGATTCCAACCAAAGGCTTTCTTACTTCAGCCTACAATACTGTACCACCTGAGCTACGAAAACCAACCTATAATCAGATTTAAATTCTGCTTCACTAACTATCGGTTGTCGTCACCTGTCTATTCAAATTAGTTGGCTTTCCTGCTTAACCTAGGTCTCGGACTATCAAATGAACGGATTCCATGTATATGCTATGAAAAGTGGATATTTTACATTAGATCAGCCTACAGATATTAGTTTGCATAACATTGGGGTTTTTGGCATAATTTCATACAGTATGAAGTGATTATTAATTTAAAGTTAAATGAAGTCTGATGAGTATAAAGATTCATATAAGTGAAATCCCATTGAAATGGACTTTCTAAAAATGTTCAGGAAATTCATGTTTTCTTTTGGAATTTGAATTTATAGGACTAAGTAATGAAATCCGAAACTATAACACTAATCCACTGAGATCGATGATCAACGTAGCTTGGAATAATTTTCATGAATTGGTGATTCTATAGTAGATAACGTGCGCTGAAGGAATATAAATCATTCCAACGTTTCAGATACAACTAGTAGGTAAGCTAAGACATGCACATGAGTTTAGTACTTGTTTATTACAGATACCTACCAAAGTGACATCGAAATGCAATCTATAAAAGTATAAAAGTATCACTCAGTCGGTGCTGCTTATCCTCAATGTTTAGGTGAGCAAATATCTTAAAGTGTCACTCTTTAAGAAACAATCTTAGCTACAGAGCTTTTGAAATACAAATGTCACTGTATATTCTCCCTGTGCTAAGTCGGAAGTGAACTTACAACCTTATAAAATAGTAAAAACATCAGATCTTGAAATAACTGCATTACCATTTAGGCATAAAACATTGATCCAACCACCCAGGTTTTCAAATTTAGCCAACACACAGACTTAAGATCTATCAATTGCTGACTACGTGCTCACATATCTAACAAAGTTGATGTAAAGCTTCCGGAAATCTGTCATTAAATCAATAATGAACACTAGGTTTTTACCCGATTAAGTGGCTTGTAGAAAACTAGTTAGTTTGAGAAATGGTCCTAATCAAGAAAGGTTATCTATCACCAGAGAAGACTTTCAATATGTTTTTATCCCTTAAGCTTAATAGTTTCATTGCAAAGCTATCAGTCGTTTTGATGACAAATTAAATCTTACGAATTAAATCCCTTCTGCAGTTTGCAAACGCTGATTTAAAGTTGGAGTCTGGAATGAAACCCCTAGGCAATGGTGTGTTTTTCTAACTCTTCTTGTCGACTTTATTTAGTGACGGAAGCTATTCAGATGTGACCTTAATCAGCAATTAATTATCTTATACAAATGTAGTAGTCAATATCTGAATGCATCTGTACAACTTACCGCTGCTGGAAAATACCTGAAAGACAAGAAAAAACCAAACTTAAGTGAATATAAAAATCTAATTGGAAACACAAAAGTTGTTTAAATAAAATTCCATGATACATAAAACCTTACTTTAACGACTTGAGATACATTTAACCACATCCATACAATCATTGAGGGTAATCGATGGCATATAAAACAGGAACTAGACTTCATTTTTGTCAGTAGTAGATAGCAGAACGATGTTTGACTGTATTACGGTGCGGAAATATGTCACTGAAATATATGATTAATGTCAACCGTAAATATTTACAAATACCTATAAATGCATTCATACTCATAACGTCATTTCAAGATTTATGACAACCATAGCTGAAAAGGCAGTGAATCCAAATGGTGTTTGAAAACCGTATTTGTCTATGTGTTGCCTTTTTAGACGTGTAACTCATATTAGGTGAAATCCTTAAAAGGACACTGTCTGCAGGACTAAGTATTTAGTTTGCGACGATTTGATTTCAATGTTTTAGACAAGTAAGAAACAATCACATGAGTTAACATCTAACAAACAAGTTCCTTCATTTATATTTCACTGAGTTTGATAAGCTGAGAAGCAAACTAAGAAAAATTGGATCAGCAGGTGGTATTTTCGCTATTAAATTACCAGTCAAGATAAACTATCATATTCAAAGGCACAGTGACCTTGAACAACCAATAGGAATTCAGATGCAAGAATTCGCACAACCTTTGCAGAAAGCATTACAAAACATTGCAAACATGATATTACACCCGATAATTGTCGCTTATCTTTTGTATGGGTATCTTCCAGTCACCACACGGACAACCTATAGGAAATTAACACCACGTGCGATAAATATATTCATAAAGGTGACTTTAGATCATAGCACTTTGAGATCCATTGATATTTCTCACACCATTCTTTAATCTAAGCCCACCTCTGACCGTAATCGTAATCCCTAGTCCTAATTTCTTACCTTAACCCTAGACCTTAACCTTCATCTTAAAAACCATGACCCGACCTGACAGTACAGGTTTAAAGAAAAAGTACTTAGAGAATAAATAGCATGCTATATCTTCCATTACGAAATCCATAAAGGCAGAACGACTTGATTTGAAATGACCTTTCATAGCGTTGCCTAATTCTGATTGATTGTAGGAGGTCAATTTTTGATTTGACTTTGGTTATGATAGTTTAACTTCGCTCACTCCTTGTCAATTTTACTATTCTTTCATACTTTCAGCTTTTTTATGTATTACGCTGCTGTAAAACATAACTGAGTGAGATGATGTTGATAAGTGAAAATTTACACTCTGGTATGCATGAGAAAAAATAGATAAACAGTAGATAGTTGTAGCCAACTATTCTTATGTACTCATAAAATTCTAGTGACTAAATAAACAATATGGTTGTTGAATTAAGATATGGTAGCGATTTGCGTACGATTTGGTGTCAAATATTAACAGTGAACACAAACATGAAGTGCTGCTTAATCGCGACTAGAATGAATATTTAAAACTGCGGAAAATTCATAACATATGTGAGATTAAAACTTGAATTACGCTACTATACTGTCACGTCAGACTAGTTGCTAAATTGTGCATTACATAATTGGCTTGCAGTAGAATTATGGAAAAGACAACACTTTTAGCTACATTCGTCACCGTAATCCAGTTATATAGGGGGTTGGTAGTCACCTGAATGACTTTGTTCCTGAAAACTCGAATCACAGTCTAGAGTAACGTAAATTCAAATTTCGGAGGTTGAGAATATGCTGTATTTAAGACTGCCTTTTTTTTCCTTTGCGTTCCCCTGTGTAACATAGGGCTTCAAGCTAGTGGCTTGAAGTTTCTGTAACAGTGTTGATTTTTACAGGATGGGGTTGCTAGCCTTATGCCCAACCTTTCCTCTTCACCAGCATTATTTCTGGCTTAGCGAGGTAAAGGAGTGCGTCGGTCGGGGATCGAACCCCGGACGATGTGCATGGTCGGCGAGCTTCCTAACCGCTATGCCACCGACGCACTGCTGCTAACAGGTTTTAAATCTAAGTAAAGTTGAAGTTTCTGTCGTTTGATATGTTGATCTATTTTACTACAGAATGAATAGATAGTTTCGGCTTTTGAGTACAAAGAATTGTTAATTTAATCAAGTTTACAATGGCAATTTAGTGTATACTTGTAGTTTATAACTAAATGACAATTAATATTCTTATATAACTTGATAACTGAAATACGTCGATCAAAATCTCAGTTCAACTTACACTTGATGTGTCAGATTCTGTATCACATGACTTAGATGGATCTGAAAGATAAAAAAGCAGAAAAGAAAATGAAGAGCCAATTCAACTATTCTGTAACATAATTTAGCAATAAAAATCAATTCGTTTATAGGTGCTATCAATCACATTTTAGTGATACATAACACCATGTTGTTCTTACAATAACTTCAAGTGAACACTTAGCACTTTGCAAACTAATAAAATTATTATTATTATCATTATGGTGATGATTGCTACCTGAAGTTCTAAAGTATTGGCTTATTAGGTTAATCTAATAAATCAAGTATCCCAGTGTTTTTACTCTGTCATTTCTAGTAATTAAGATATTATTATATATTGTTGTGACTGGCAATGAAAACCTTGAAAAATATTTTTGTCTTGTTTTAAACTAATTGATGAAGTATGTATGCATCCTAGCAACCGTTGACACTAACCCGTCATTGCATCAGCTGTAATTCAAATGTAGCACATGAAAGGTCACAGAATCAAGCTTTAAATTGCTGAGTTACGGTAGTTTTGTTAACATATTTTCATCAAATTATTCTTTAATTTCAATAATCGAGGAAATTGAAGAACCAGTGACAGGTAGACACATTTAACTTATGTAACTTATTAGGGTGATAGATGAAATTTTACTATTGAATATTAACTGGGTTATAAATGAGTTTCACTAAAAGGCATAAGATGGGATGAAAACAAGTGTTATGAAAAGTGGATTTATTTTACCACTGTCAAGAGATTTTAGTGACTACTATAAGCAGAAATCTAAGTATTTCCGATACATGTTTCTCTCTTATTTAGCTTAAGATGATGCTACAAGATTAGTCTAAAACAACTAGTAACTTCAAACTACCCAGATTATTCAGTAGTTACACTTGTTTGAGAAGTTGTACCAACCTTGATAGATCGGTTTGCAATGATACTTCAGCATGAATGCTGAAAGCTAATGTGTTATTTGCCAAAAAATCACTTGTTGAAGACTCTTGGTAAAATGGATCAGAAGAATTTACAATGACACGGATGAATTCATTCTTTATTATCTTGGTATTTAGGAACATGTTTACTGGTTTTATTTAGATATTCTTTAAATCTAACAACCTTATTATTATCAAATGGAGTATTAGCATGACACCCACTGGATATAGGCAAAAAGTCAGGCGTCTTGACGTGAAAACGGAATTTTAATCCATCGACCGAAATTTTCTTTGGAAATATCTGACCGTGAAAGGAGTACCGAGAACGCATATCGCACCACCAGTGGTGTCTGTCAAGGGTGCCCTATGTTCTCATTTTTGTTTAATTACATCATAGATGTAATAATGGCAATAACCTTAGTCGATTTAGAGTATGCAGATGACAAAGTTCTTCAAGGTGAACACTCTGAGTTTTCTGAACATCCTGGACAGAAATCTTAGTTTGTTCTACATGCAGTTCGATCCAATCACATGTAAGATGATGAAGGGATGAGCTGAACCGACTCCCAGTCTAGAAATATTGGATGAAATGTTTGAGCTTGTCGACTAATTCACTTGTTTGAGAAGTTGTATCAGCCGTACTAGACTAAATGCTGATGAAATCTCAACACCAGACATTTGGCATCTTACGTCTTTCATTCTATTGACGTGATTTTTGACTGTCAGACGTCTGTACTGTGCAGTGGTTCGCTCTGTTCTTCCTAATGGTTTGAAAAAAAGTCATTGAACCTGGAAGACATGGAGAGGCTAGCTGTCTTTAACCACAGATAATTTTGATATATCTCTGGTGTTAAGTGGTACAATAAAATGAGTAAAATTTAGGTTAGGCATCAAGTTGTAGGGGAGGTGAGGTTGTAAAGCTACACCAATAGAAACGGCTAGGACGCGTGTTACTCATTCCTAGTCAACGCCCTGCTTGTCTAGCAGTGTTAGCTGACATAACATTAGGTCAGAATAGAGTAAGGGGTAGTCGAATCGAACCACGACATTATTCCATGATGTCCTTAAATGTTAGTTGAACCTTGTAAGTGGTTTTAGACTGCCTTGTTGGGGTCCTGATAACTATTGGTGACTTGGAGCAAAATGGTTATTGCATCATGGATAAAATTTATTTTACTAAAGTCAAACAGTTTTATACAGTAATATTTACCGATGATATTTCGAAAACAATTTATTGCTCATAATCATATCAACTTTATATGATGGAATTATATAATGGAATTATACTCTACCACAGCGCCCAAATTTTTCCTTATATCGGGATGGTTATGATCTGGTCTGTTTTTCATATTATAAACGTACCTCCGTTATGCATACTAAAATGAATGTGAGGGTTTGTTTTGAAAGTAATTGTGGCATTGTTATTTATGACTGGTACAAATACGTATTTCCGGGAAATGGAAAAAACATCACCAACTTGTTACATTTACGACCGTCTAGTAGCATATGGAATTAAATTTTTCATGTAAGGCCAGTTTGCGAAAACCACCGGCAATTTACGAATATAATACTTCATATAAATTAAACATAGTAGACAAAACTTATCAACTATAACTCCTAATTGTTATCATTATAGTTCTCTGCTGGGATTCACTGCCTAATTACAAAACTAGAATGTCTATACACGATGACCATTTCGCTTAATTGGGAATTCAAATCAAACCTTGTGGATTGGTGGCTGACAAAATGTCGACAAACGACACAAAACATTCAATAGCTTTTACCAATGTTCACTACTTTTTGCACAAACAACATATCCTACAGCTAAATAAAGGTCAGGGGTACTGTACAAATTTGACATGATTCAACATCGACCTTTTCGTTATTTTAACTATAATATCACATCTCTTTATTCACTTTTTCTCGTCTTTATTTCATTTCATGGGATGATTTTATATACTTCTCTTCTTTTATTCTGCCTTCTACGTTTATCTGATAATTGTATTACAGATAACTTGAACAACTAAGCAATAAAATGATATTTTGTGTTAATGATGCCTAACTTTCTGTCTTTTGCGAATGGGCATTTTGTTTCTAAAGGGATTATGAACAGGATGAATTGTCCGTTTATTTCAGGAAATTTGACTGGTGAACTTCAAGTGCATCTGACATTCATACAGCACGCATTTTTAAACCACTGTCTAATTTCACCAATTTGCAGCCAATCTAGTGACACTATACAGTACTACATGCTCTATAAGCCAATCGAAACTGGATAAGTACCCTGCTGATGTTACCTCCAACTGCATTTATAAATTTACGTGCACCTGCGGCAGTAAGTACATCGGAAGGACAGAAAGAAGGGCTTCTATCCGGTTTTCAGAGCATATTCCGAGAAACTTATGCTTAAAAGGAAGCAAATATTTACAAAGTGCAATTACCAGACACCTTGTGGATACAGGCCATTTTGTTGAGATTTCCAAATCCTTCAAAATATTAAACATACAAAGGACAGTGAATCTACTGCGATTTACTGAAGCAATTGCAATCAAACATCTCAGACCAAACTTATGCACACAGAAAGAGAGTGTAGTCAATCTCTCACTCCCTTCGTAACCATATCACTTTCATTACACTGATTACTCATAGACACTAGTGAGTTCAACTCACTAAGCAAGTTTTCAAATTGATGAACTTTGACCTTGTTGAGTTGCCATGTTGACACTGTTTATTAGATTTTTCTGTTTTCTGTCTTCTCTCACCCCCCTCTTTTTCTTCCTTTTTTCATAGTTTGATAGTATATAAATTGATGGTAACTTAAACTACAAAATTCTAATCCTTATATTCCGGATGCGTTTATCTTATAATGCTTTCTGTGTTACCTTTCAAACAATGAAGTATGAAATGTTATTATTTATAACCATTGTAATTTCAGGTAGTTTGCAGCTGATGAGAACTTGTGAAATAGAATGATATCATTTTATACTGCAAATCTGGTCTTTCTTTCTCTATCGAAATTTGCATATCTCTTCAAATTAAAATATGCATGAATTTTATGATTCAACAGATGAATGAATTTTTCTTTAACTTGTTTCTTCTACGATTTATTCCATACTAAATTCCATTGTATGCTTAAAATACTTGATCTCTTATGTAAAAGAAGTTCCAGATGCAGTCAATAAAATTATGATTCTAACATTTTAAAGCAATAGACGTAGCTGTAAGCATTCCATACTGAGATTACCGAGATATATATTACGTATATCAAGTTAAATTATAATCTGACATATGCCTCTAAAATAATCTAAAAACGTATGCGTGAACTTAATCAATTTTGGTTTGTGTTTTGCCTCGAGTAGAAGCAACTAATAAGATAAAATTTGAATTAACTTCTGAGATCTGAATTTGGGTCAATCAATGTCAAAGTCATTGATTTTATCATTTGGTTATTCAAGACACAACTAGCTCCTTGTAGGATCGAATCGCGCATGGAAATCGGTCCTCTGATAATAACCAAGGAAGACGATGATTAGACTCTTATAGTTAATCTCAAGTTATACTACACCATAATATGGAGTATTGTCGAGTCGTATAGTGAATAAACAAAACACTCGACCAATAAACTTTGTTCAACATTTGGAACTTGATAATTCCGGTAGATAGCATAAAACGACTGATTCATAATTGTACTATTCCTATATATCTCAGATGGGGTTGCTAGCCTTACACACAAACTTCCTTCTTAACCAGGCTTACTATCGGGTAAGAGAGGTTTTAGAAGTGAGTCGGCTGGGGATTAAACCCCGAACCAAGTCGGTAAGTGGCGAGCATTCTACCTATGAACTGCCGACGGTCCATTGATCTCACTTGTCTTTCAAATTGATATTGATTACTGGTAAAATCTGTAATATAAATAAAACTGTACAGCTTGAAAATGAAGAGTCGTCAAAAAAATGTCTTCAGTGAACAAATTTGATTTTCCTGATTCATGGAATTAAATTAGTTGAATTTCCAAAAACCAACAGTGAAAATGTATTATCATTCAAATATATTGTTTTTCACTTTTCTAATTAAAGAGGGAGTATGATGTAACATTATGGGAATACCAAACAAAGAAATAGGTGTGATTTAACTATCTGGTGGTAAGTTAAATTTATTTCTATTCCTCTTCTACCGTTCAAGTCTTTGTAATTCCCATTGGAATGAATTGACCTTGACTTGATAACAAGTTGTGAGCCAATAGGATGCGAAAATAAGTCAAACCATTGATTAGTTGACCAAATTTCACTGCTCTTTCAATTTTTGTATTTGAAAAAACGAACAAGCTACTTTGCAGTTTTTTTGAGAGGAATAACATGAATGACGAAAAACAAAATGATAGCGATCATAACGACAATGATGACAATGGTAATACATTCTAGAGTAATGAAATCGGATGATTGACAATGAAACCAACAAAGAAAACAGTTAATTACTGAGAAAAAATAAATCAGAAGGGCTAACGAACTTCTCTGTATCATTCATTTGTATTTAAGAAAGCTTTTAATATGGTGATTTCGATTGCGTAATTAGTAAATAATTTTCCAACCAGTGAAGTTAGATATTTAGTCACTGAAAAGCATCAGTTGAGGAACTATTGAGTACTAATGACATGATCTACCACTTATTCCACTTTTGTATAACAATCAAATGTCACACACAAAGTTCGGTTTTCTGCAGCAGTACGCATCCACCGGCTTTCGAACCCACGACCTTCCAGTTAAAAGGAGTGTTCGTAGACCATTCAGTCACTGAGATTCGACCCAGTGTTCTATGGTTTCCAACTTCTGCTGATTCCTGCTTTTAGTGAGATTACCGGTCAACTTCTTCGACGAGTATTTATCCTCACATCCGACCTGGTGGAACCCACTGATCACATCTTCTCAATAGAAGTCCAAGAAGCTTCGTCCTGTAAGCAGTCACTAACAAGCACCATATTTATTTTCAAGAGTTAGTCTGAAGGCATCTGATTTATTCCAAGTTTGATCACGGATTGGTGTCAATTAGAGAACCACTGAAAAGCAGGGAGTACTGGACAGTTGTTTCGTCCTTGTTTAAGATTCAGTACTGTTTAGCTTAAGTACTGGAAATATACAATAAAAGGAAAGAAAAAACAAGGCGTGCTTACTTTCTGAGTTAGTTCTGTTTTGTCTAGTCACTGATTGTGTAGTAGCACGTGATCGATAAACATATTGGCCATTGGAACCATTATTATTAGTAATAGCCGATGTTGTGAAGCTATTACTCGGTGGAGTACACTTCCGTGGATAAGATGAATTAGTTGTAGGGTCATTATTATTAGTTGTATTACTAGGACTGCCATTATTATTGTGGTTGACATGATTAGAAATTTTGCTACTGTTTACATGATTTCCACCATTTGACGTCTTACTATTTTTTTCATTGTTTGACGGTGAAATATACTTACTGATTGATTCATTTAAAGATAATAATCTTGGAATACCTGAAGGAGATTTAAGTGGACCACTTAATGGTAAACCTTCTGCACTCTGTGGACGATCTTTAGATGATGCTGCAATCTGTGTACTACTACCATTACTATCAATGTCATTATGGTGACTTTTATTATCATTACTAATAGTATTATTGTTATTAATAGTAGTAGTGGTTGCAGCGTTAGTATTAGTATTGTTATTACGCTGTGTCAAAATTGGTGTATTCACTGTGTTCGGTGGTGTTTGTTGCTTTTGACTTGAAGGTGTTTGTTGTGTATTGTTGTTACTATTATTACTAGTGTTATTATTATTATTGGTGTTAACACTTTGATTGAATACATGTTGATACTTCAATGATGATTCTTGTACAGGCGACTGAGCTAACATTTTAGTTACATTTATTTATCGATTGGTTGCAAATACTGATAAATGAACTGTAAGGGAAAATGAAATTATTACAAATCAGTAAATGTGTGAATAAATTAAGATTAAGTTTGAATATTTAAAAAGCAGCTGGTAAAATATTTTAGTGAAAAGAGGGTATCTATTCACCATTCTACACGATTTTATTGAAAAGAAAAAAGAAGTCATGGTGATGACAAAAAACGCGAAAGGAAACACTAACAGATTAAATTGTGTTAAAGACATTGATCCAAGTTTAACATCAATTTTGAATTTGAAGATTGTTGAAGTATGCATCTTGACGTGTTCACTGGAATGACTTTCATGATTTGCATCCGGTAAATTGTCCTGGTCGTCTAAAGGATCCTCATTTTCAGAAACTGACTAAACATAGGTCAATACAAATTCACGAGTCTCCTAAAAATAACTATTAGACCTGATCACTATTTGTGTACACTGCAACTTATAATACATGAGTGTAGTGGTTTGAATACCAATCTCTTGTCCTTGCAATCACCTGAGTACGACTCAAATAATATTATAGCAGTCCACTAGTTACTATAATTGTATGCACAAAAGGTAGTGGTTTCTCAAAAAAGAGTTAGGTTAGAGGTAGTATAATTTCAGTTTGGATTTCATCACAAGTTAACATTAATTAAGGAATCGTTAGAAACCATGGTGCACTCAAAAGCTGTTTCATCCTAGTTTGGGACTCATCAGAAGTGCATACCAAGGATTCAATGGGGGGTCAAACCCAAGAGATTCAAGTTGCGAGGAGAACCCGTTGAAATCTATTAATTCGTGAATTCTCACCACTGTTGATTCAGTAGTTGAGAGTCACTTCTGAATTTCAAAGGTGGAGTAGGATATCCAGTAGCTTTTAATCAATTCTATAGACGAAACACTTAGTGAGAGAAGTACCCATTTAAATAGACTAAAAATTATCAGGTATCTAATCATTCAGCTGATATTTCAGTAAACCTTATTTACAAACACATCAAAGTAGAACTTTGAAAACACGTACGTCACTTCAAATTGACACATTTCAAAATGGTACAAAGAAGGAGATGGTAAAAACATGATGATATTCCAAAACACAAACATATACTTTACTGAGAAAATGAAATGATGTCTGAGAATTTTGAAATAACTTTCTAATAAGTGTCAGTAAGTATGAAACCTAGTCGTAACTTCATTACGACTACTGCTATAGACAAATGATAACTACAATAGGACTTTTATATCGACTGTAGTTTCAGTTTTCATTTCTAACTATATTTAAAAGTATACATAATTATATTGATCAACTAGCCAACTAAACTTAAGTATCTTTTCCATGACTAAATGTCATGTTTTAAAACATTTCATTCTTCTTCACATAGTACAGCTGAAAACCGATAACTTGTTTAGTACTTGTGAATCTACAATATCTCCACAGAAATTTACATAGTGCTTGGGGAAATGTAGAGTTGAAGGCAAACAATGTGATGAAAATACAGAACTTCAGTCATAAATCTATGTAAAGCGCTACTGGAACCTGAAGAAACTATCGATCAAAGTGCTCAGATTAAAATCAACACTATACATAACTAAGTCAAGTTGATTAGTTTCTGAAATTACGATGAATTCATTTTGATTTGCATTATCAAATCAACGCATAGGACGAGTACAAAAAGTTTGTTAACTATTTATCTAGGCTGTATACAGGGAGTACAAGCTACTTGACTAAAACAAATAAGGTAATAATATCCCAGAGTTCATTAATTCTGGTAATAACAATGTGTGAAAATAATGGAAAATCAGACACAATCGACAGGGTTAACAACTCACTAGTTAAGTGATAAATAATCATTTGTAAATAATTGATAGGAAACAAGAGAATAGAGGATTTTATTTTTTTCAAATTTGTAATTCCGGTAATATTTTCAAGTACTGGTTTTGTAGGGATTTTGTTTGACTTGTTGAAGGATTTCATCATGGGCTGACATCAGTTAGAGAACCACTGGAAATCTTGGGAGTACTGGATGGCTGTTTCATCCTAGTTTCGGACTTTTCGACAGTACGCACCCACACAATGGGTTTTGAACCCAGGACCTTCTGGTTACAAGGCTAGCGAGCTTGTAGACTCTAGCATGGACGTCATGGCCCATAAGTTCTAACTTCTGCCAATTAATGATATAGCGCAACTACTTCTCAATGTCCAGGATCTAGAAGGTCCGGGATTCAAACCCTGTTGGGTGCATACTTTTGAGGAATCCCGAACTAGGACGAAACAGCTGTCCAGTACTCCTAGGTTTCTCACTGGTACTCTAACTGATGTCAGCTCATGATGAAATCCTCCAACCGATTCCGTTAATACTTAAGAACTGATCTCAATGAAGGAATCACAGACACATTATTTATTTTTGAATTTCTCTTCGCTCAGTGGCGCAAAGCATAATCAACGATGTGAAGTCAAATTAATGGTTTATTATATCATAATTTCTAAATTAGAACATATTTTAAAGCGACACTATTTCCAGCTAAATCTTTCTCATGCTTCATCATGAAATACGTAGCCTTACGTGTAAATATGAAATATACAACAGTTATGGTGACTTGCAAGTGGAGCAGTAACAAGCACGTGAGTTGCGCAAATAACAAGAGTCACAACAACAATAATGATAGTTATTATTTGTAGGCTCTGAACCTTTATTATAATCCAACTGACAGGCCGGGATTACTGCTTTATATATATATATATATATATATATATGTCTTTTGAGATCTTTATTCAGTTGTAGCAATATCATCTACTGTTACATTCTAAAGCACTCGGAAACTGGAAATATTTCACTCAGTATGTTTGCCCAGATAACTCACTGATTTGTCACGATTCAAATAAAAATCAATAATAAAAACTAGTAATCTCTTGACAGCTGCTCAACCATGTTTCAGGACTTCTCAGTTATTATAGATGGATAGTACACAGTATTACGCTGTCTAAACGTATTTCGGCAACGGGATTATTCATTTCAGTTCAAACAATCCCGAATTCTACTATAATTCAGCATTGCATCTAGTCATATCAATTTCCGATCGAGTGTATAATCATGTCCTGCAGTTTTGAGCAAGCTCAGTTATTGTTGTAACAACAGCAAAAGCAGTAGGAAGGCTTCCAAGTTAAAATGATCAAAATGCTCACTAAAAGATTATCTAGTCATCCCCATACTGAGAATGTGGATTCTGCTGTCTAGTTTGTCACAGAAGTACGGAGGAATTTTGCAGCTGATACATTATTTACGTAGTTCGTTTTCAATAAAAGCATGCAAATTAATTTTAGAAATCAGACTGATAATCTGGATTCCAATAATGCACTGAATTGTAGTGAAGACATGATTTGTGAAAAAACAAGAAATAAGACCAGTTCAAGTGTAGAGGTTTTCACTCAGGTTCCTCCTACCTTGGAAGAAAGGAAAAATTATCTATATAAGTGCCATCATTTTATTTAACAAGAAGTTTCTTACAGTTATTTCGCTTCACCAGTAACAGCTGAAAAAACCGCATGAAATCTACTTTTGACGCATGGCCAGAATTTGTCACATAACATCTTCGCCAAAAGAAAGTGAATTACTGAATGCAGATAGTGCTGAAATCGCAGCTGTAGCTAACACCCTACTCAATAAAGAAGCATCTATGGAGAATATAAAAATGAGTTTGAGAAATTATTGCGATACGTGTATTATTCTGCAGTTATCAGGCAATAATGATCCCACACTATTTCGTGGGGAAGGTATTATAGACGGACAGTACACAGTATCATTTCGTCATAGCGTCAGTAATACAAATTTTCAACTTTTCATAAATAATTGTCCTCGGAAGTGAAAGTCCTGGAGATGAAGGCTTTACCAATTCACCTACAACCACGATATCCTTCAACATAGTTAAGAATGCTTAATTCAACTTTCACGCTTCTTCCATAGAATAAATACTACATATTTAAGAAAAACTTGAAAATCTACCTGTGTGCAAATACACACACACACAAATATCAATTGAATTAGATAAAAGAAAAGTTGAAAAGAAAACATTTTTGTTTTACTGTTTAACCTCGACTGTCCACTGTCCACTTGATTTGCATAAAAAAGTCATTTGAAATTCAAAAATACCTTGCTATTGTTTTGTGTAAATGACCCTAATTTTTAATAAAATAAAATACATTTCAATGAAATACCTAGAATGTGATAAATGCACTTAAGACATTGACGAAGACGAAGACGAAGAAGTAGAATAATGAAAGGAGCAACAACAGGTTGTACGCAAATTGTGATAATTATTTTATCTGTGTACAACACCTGTAAATTAAAGTCATCTTTTATAGTAGACGATAACATGATATAATTTTCATGCACAAAAATTGGACAAGTTAATGTGTTCTCTTTTTCTACAATTCTTAGTTTTATACCGTAATTTATTTATATTAAATTAATCAATAATAAACATGAGTGTCTAGTCCGGGATGATAGTATGGAGAGAAAGAGAGAGACAGAGAGAGAAGTAATAGAAACCAAGTCTTATAAACATTTATACAATGTAAATTATGATTAATTTCAGGGTGTACTACTGTCCGTATGGTAATGATAAATATTTATTTACCACACCTAAGATGAATTAGTAAATGAATGAGTCAACTTGTTTACAAGATATGAACAGAGAACATTATATACACAACATTATTACCATCAATGTATATATATTCAATGAAAATAGAAATTGGTAACCTGTGTGTCAATTAGTGAATTTAGCTATAACTATAAGATTCATCTAGACAGAAAATACTTCATATAACAGTAGTGAGTGTGATCATCTTCAAAATAACTAAATGCTACTTTGCAGGTTTTATATAACTTGCATTCATCCTTCCCCCTTATATGGTCAATACAGTTTCTACTGTGAAGCTTAAGCATACAAGCTCATAATGCCATAAACTGCATCGGCTGAGATGGTTAAGACATGTTTCACGCACGTGTCCACTCACTGCTTACTTCAAACT